TTTGCCCGTCAGCCGAAAAATCTGAAAAAATTCACAAAAAACTTTTTCGAGTATCGAAACAAGCATGAATTTTTTCAGAATTTTCTAAGACCATGACGAAAATGGGTGGCTGAGTTGACGGAGAATGCCCCATATGTATATCTCAGTTCAATTTTGGCTCATTCCTCTCTCAAAGAGCAATTGAAATATTCAAGTCCCCTAATGAAGGCACAAATAAATTGAAAAATGTACTGCCTGTATAAACATTCACAGTGAAATTGCTCCAACTCCAACTATCTCCAGAAGACCGTAAGCCCTTTAACTTGCCAGCAAATGAGGTAAATAAAAGAAAACTCATACTAGTTATATTTTTCGCTCTTCCCTGTTTTCGAGAACAATAAAAAGATTCCCAACTAATTCATAAAAATTGAAGCTTTTTAATGAATTCTTCTATTTTATTCAAAATACTTTTGTCAATATATGATAACCAATTACGTTAAACATCCTAAATTTACACAAGTAATGCACGTTGGAAGGAAGAAGAAAAATTGACAAACGTTGCGATTCATTTTTGCTCTTTCTACTTCTCGAACTAAATTGGGGCATTCTTCAAATAATTGCAGGAATTACATCAACTTAAATCCCTTACTAATATCTTAGGTGAATGAAAAAAAAATATAATAATTTTATAAAACTATACGTTATTCAAAACAAAGATTAACTAGTAAACCAATTGTTGTGAAAACGCGGACTTCTACATTATAATTCACTCGGATCCCTTTTTGTTGTACGTTGTTTCATTCATTCGGATCTCCTTTTTTGATACATGGGGAACAGAACTATACCTTGGACATTTTTTTTTAACCTTAAGGCAATTGGCGTGTGCATACCGCAAACATAACTGGCAAATTACCCATTGACGTGATATTTGGGTATTAATGCGTCTACAATAACTACATGTTTTTTCGCCTGAAATCCTCTCGCCGATAATTACATTGTTAAATGTTAAAAACGCCTCTGTTGAAAAAAAGATGAAAGGAGTTGGATAATAACATGAGAACTTAGAAAAGAATTACTAACTCTATGGGGATCCAAGTCCAGATCATGCACGGTAATCTTGTACTCATTATCGAGTAGGATGTTTAAAATAATTAATTATCATATATATATATATATATATAGTCAAAAGGTTTACGGTCTTTTGGAGATCGTTGGAGTTAGAGCAATTTCACTGTGAATGTGTATACAGGCAGTACGTTGTTCAATTTACTTGTGCCTTCATTAAGGAACTTGAATATTTCAATTGCTCTTTGAGAAAGCAATGAGCCAAAATTGAACTGAGGTATACATATGCGCTATTTGTATCACTAAAAAGAACGTAAAGCCGTAGTTCCAATTGCCATACACCCAGTAATTGGTTGGGGGTGGAAATTAGCATGCACATGGCATTGTGCCCTGGATGAATAAGGACCGGTAAGGATGTTTTGCTGGTATTTTGTCATTTTTCCTGGTTTTCTGGGATTTATTGAAAAGTATCGATCGGATTGGGATATGGAAATATGGCATTTGTCCGTTCCATCATGATTGATCCTTTCATAAAGTTTCATGCCGATATACTTATTTTTGTAACTTTTCACTATAATTTAATAAAAAATCAATCAATTTTACTGAAAAGTTATAAAAATTGGTGTATCGGGATGAAACTTTGTGAAAGGATAAATAATGATGTAACGGACAAGCGCTATATTTTCATATCCCTACCCGATCGATAGTTTTCAATAAATCTCAGAAAAATAGAAAGAATAACAAAAGACCGGCAGAACATCCTCAAGTGTATGCTATTTTTTACCATGCATTCATGGTTCTCATCCATTTATCCATGGCATCTTGCCATGGATGCATGACGACCGTTAGGTGCAAGGTATTTTCTACTAAGCGTCCATGGACGCATGGCAAAACTTACCATGGCCTATCATTTACTTTCAGAGATGGTCGCTAAAATCCATAGATCCATGGTAGAAAAAATGACATACGTCTATGGTATCCAACAACATACCGTGTGTGTAGACACTGCCAAAAACTAATTTGGACTAAAGTCGCCTTTGTATTCTATAAATAGAAATTACAAGAGATAATCACTAGAATATAAGATCTTTAATTACGTTTTCCTTAAATTCACTGTTCATAATCATTCGTTTTCAGTCTATCCTATGATCATGATCTTGATGGATTTAATTGGTGAGAGAAAACGTTTTGCTAATTTTTTTAACAGAAGATTCAAGTCAATAATACTTCAATATATATTTCTAATATTCGATGGGTATAAAAATTTTGAAATTTTACCTTAATCGTGTGAAATCATTGATAAAAGAAATTAATCATGTTAAGTTTATTTTACTGCATGGGAAAATTCGAATGAGTTCACAGAAAAATAGTCAGGTCCCTCAAGTTTGTGGTAACGTTAGCAGTATATATTTGTAATAAACTCTGATACTTAAAGTGCTGTTAACTCGATAAGAGAAGATAATTTGATAGTTTATAAAACCCTTACTTTTTCACTGTTAATATGGTTATTACCTCACTGAATATAGGTACAGCAGCAACTCCAATGCAGTCAGGGAATAAAAATGCATGACACGTGGCACAGACTGGCTCCTCAAAACATGGACCATAGTATCCATTGCAAATGTAACAAGTCAACGTCTAAGGAATAATTGCAAAAATCAGAACGTAATGCATTGAACTCAACAATAAGAGCAGGAGGATTCAACTTACCGAAAATTGAAATTCTGGACATGGAATATTTTCAACAACTTCTAAATACTCATCCTCATTGTTGGAATATAGAATGCATTCGCGAATCTCGTGGACTCTGTCATTCTTGTCAACATCTGTCGAAGTTTTCACGAGTTTGTCAACCATCTTGAGTATATTAATTAAAAAATATAAATAATGTGCACTTTTAAATGGGAAATAATGGAAATTCCAAATTTGAATTCAATAAAAAAAGCCGATTGTCATATTGACTAAGTTTTGTTTACGAGCCCACAAATTCACCAATGTTTTTTTTTTTGGTTAATTATCAGACTTTTGGAGATGGAGTGCCACTATATGGAGACGTGCTACACTAAACCGCTAAAACTAGCTTTTCTCCACCTGGTGAGGGTTCATGAAATTACTATATAGCGCTTGTCTCAGCTGAGCTATGAATATATTTGCGAGACAATTTTTCCCCAATTTGTTTAATCATTTTTGAAATTATTAACAAAAAAGATATCGATTAAAAAAAAAAGTTTTGAGGGACCCATAAATCTCCACGTTTCAGACGATTCTCAATCGTTTGAGTATACATTTGCGAGACAATTTTTCCCCAATTTGTTTAATCATTTTTGAAATTGTTAACAAAAAAGATAACGATTAAAAAAAAAAGTTCCGAGGGACCCATAAATCTCGACGTTT